GCAATAGTGAAGGTGTTTTTTTCGAAGAAGTACATTACCTTGGTGCATTTTTCGTTCGTTTTACAACTTCAAAAAACGAGATATTTTGAGAAGACAGTCGTCATTAGCATTCCCGAATGTAAAGCTCGCAAAAATTACCAGAAACGATTTCTAGTAATGATTAATAATCCCAAAACGTGGAGTAAAGGAAGAATATACCGATGGCTGCTCGAATTCGCGGGAAGATTACCAAGTGGAGGGTTTGCTGCAGACTTCTTCCTCGTTGGTGATTTTGAATCGCTGCGAGGTGTTTCGGAAACACGAAGGTTTGAAATATTCGGAATGACGGGCTAAAATTAGGTAATCAAAACTATTAGTCTAAAATGCACACTTTGTAGAGGTGTAGAGAATAATAAAAGAGGCGTGCCCGGGCTGGTAACCTAAGGTTTGAACCACGGTCTCCTTTGTCTTGATGAATTTAATGCTGAAAAAGCCGCTGCTCCTTTATTCTAAAAGTAATTCAATGGCACTTAAAAAACCATCTGCTGTCCATACTGAGCTTTGACACAATGTTCAATTCATGATTCATGATTACGATAAGGCTAGTGATATGGAAAACGTAGCCCTACATTTCCTTCTTATATACAAAGCAGTCACTTGGTGCGTGGGATAATGGAGTAGAGTAAGTACTGCAGAGTGAAATGAGTAATGTTTAGTGGAGTGGGTACTTCAAAGCTGTGAACTCTATCCGAACTGACACCGTGCTATATAAGTCTATACAACAAGGTATGTTAGTTAAATAATTAATTCGTACCCCATCTCGGCTTTCTGCTCGAGGTAATTACCTGGACCTCGGGCGCTTCTCCCCTCCTCAGGCTTAGCAAGAACAACATTATTCTACACAGAACCACTCTGAGCACGGGTAAGATCGGCTACACCTCTTTCTCTGCACTTAAGCCCTCAGTGTTGTATCAAAGCGATGACCGTGTGTTTGTGTGTGTGTGGTGTGTGTTTGACCAGGGACCATATCTTTTGGCCCCTCAACTCGTAGCATTCAAATTCGGAAGGGATTCAGGCAGCAGGATGCGAACCCTGATGGTAGGTAGTAGGAAAAGATAGCACACTAATAAATAAATAAATAAATTTGATAGGAGCTGATGAGTCCTAGAAGGCAAAAGCTACAGGATCCGTTCTCACCTCGTGTTGAGGGTAAAGCCTCAGCGCTTTAATAGGTAGCAAGAGATGTGAAGGGACCGTAAATGATGGGTGAAAGAGATTGATAACAATCGAAAAAGAACGATAACGAGCCAGAAGAGGCGAAACTCATTCGGCCTATAATACATTTCGGGTGGTCAATGAGGACTTAGCGCTTTACTAGGCGGCGTGGGATGTGAACGGACCATAGATGATTGGACACTAGGATTGCTAACAGCTGGTATGGATCCTCAGAGAGCAAGAGCCACTGACCAGTTGAAATCCAAACGCCTTTGCTAATTATTATACGGTGTGGCTTTGGCTTTTTAGCATATTTGTTCGATAAGATGGGATTGTAGAGTAGGATGATATTAGTGACGGTAAATGCTGTGATGGTTACCGATCAAAGACTAGCACCAACCATCACTGCTACCCAGCAAAGTTTTTGACTCAACGAAAGATCTATCTGTTTCGACATCATTCGCGACAAAACTTATCCGACCGCCAATAATCTAGGATTTTTAAATAGACCAATGATACATCCTCAGAGAAAGGAAGCTCCACTGATAATGGCATTTGGTAATGGCGCTACCATCACTCGACAGCACTTGTGACTAGCATTCAAGGCTTTAGTTGCCTGTCAACTACACCTTTAATTGGTGATTACCTTTAAGGTGAAGAGGAACAGATCAAAAACTTCTAATCATGGCATCAGCATCAGCACCAGCACACACTGAACACCATTTGTACTTCCCTGTTGGTCCTATGTAAAATTTCATGAACAGAACGTATGATTTGTTTCTAAAGGTGAGTGGTGAGTTAGCCGATTATCAGTAATTTGTCATAAGTAGGAGGAAAGCCCGGCGTTAGCAGAGCGATCCGACCGGTCTTGATGTTAGAATACTATTTCCTGTTACCATAGTAAAACTGCAGAAGAACACACACCCACCTTTTCTTCATTAGAAACAAATGGAGGCAGTGAAATCACTACAGGCTTGGGAGCGCTTTGCAAATCATCAAAACCAAGTCCGGGCGGGGGACCAGAATCGATTTTTGAGTGGGCTGCCGATGTCGACGAAAGGTTATGTTGCCCAGCTTTACTATCTGTACCTAAAAATACCAGCTAAACTGCCTATGACTTGCGAACAATACTACGAATAAATGCGCACCCCCGTCGACATCCATATCGAAAATCTGGTCCTCTTGATAATCGGGTCCATCATCGGTAGTCTCTGGACAATGCTGTTCTTCCGGGATGAATTCGCTCATGTTTGCGCCGAACGTGAATCCGGTTGACGGTTTTTGTCGTTGATACATGTAGGCAGCTTAACCATTGAACTGTTCATTATATAGATTGAAAAACAACTGTGCATTTTAATGGAATAATTTTCCTTTTCCTGTTAATGCCTTCGAGCATTTCTGG